TTAACCATTTTTCTGTAGACCATCGAGGACTTACTTAAAACCATGTAAAGGAAAGAACAAAACATTTCTTCAAAGCTTAGTGGGCTACGATGTGTGCGAAGCTACATTTAGCTGAATTTGTGAATAGCAGTCTATAAAAGATTTAGTTTAAAAGAAGCAATGTTGCTTGCATTTTTTAATAGCCTTTAACCTTCCTCGCTCATTCATTGAAACATACAAACGTAACGTCTCCCTACACAAAAGGAAACGCAGAACTTATATTTTGAGGAAAGAAACTGATGTGATTATCAGTCAATATCTCGAGTAGCAATTTTGAAATTTGGTTATTAAAAATGGCTAGAAGATAAACAACTTGGAATTTATAAGTACAGAAGTATCTGTAATTTATATAACAGGACAGTAATACCAAGAAGGCGAAAAATTTTCATTCAGTCTCGTATAATGATTGCATTATTCCATAACAAATAGCATTAAGATAATTCCAGGGAGAAGGTTCTAGCATTAAGATAGATCTTCGACTTTGCCTTATCTCTTATCTATGTTTCCATATTAATTATCTTGCAGAGTTACCTAAAGACTATAAAGAAAAATGTTTTATATTAAAGCTCTATGATATTAATTAAAAAAATAAGAAAAATCCATGAGATTCATCATGCTGCATAATCAATGAGCACGCAATAGCTTCAACTTACTTCAATGTTTCGTGTTCGGTGGTAACTTAAGTGCGCAAAATATTAACAACTTAATAAAACAGATGATGTACAGTGAACCATTTTATGGCAGCCACCTCTAAAAATGACCAGTATTTTCGAGAATATAAATAAACATTAGAATTCAACATGACCTGTCTAAGCAACTATCTCCACAGAAGACGCGAAATAATTCGGAATTTTAGTCTTCCGATGGGGCTGTCTACTTAATATATAGGATTTGTTAACTCCTTACTTTATTATTTTTATCTTTACTGTAGCTTCTACTTTCATTGGCTCCCACCAGGATGCAAATTAGTTAAAGTATGTAAAAACGGAATTCTTGAAATTAAGGGCGACTTTTGACAGCGACAGTAGAAGTCTCTGAGTTATTTTCATCCAGATTCTAAATCAGCTTTAGAATTTACTCCCTTGATTAGAGAGCCTAAAACAAAGCTTGCAGTAGGACTTTGGAGTGCGAATTTATACCTTAATTGCTTAAGTTTTATCTTGATTTTTATGTTCTGTTAAATTCTGCAAGATGCAGTGACCTGTTTTGCAAACTGCATGAATCATGTGAGTTCTTAAGTCTAGCTAAGTTATTAAGTCTAATAAAAACTTCTTTTGAGTCTGGAGTAAGACTGTCATAATTAATCTTTAACATGTCTTAAGCGAGCCTAAAACACTGTAAAATGTCAAAAAAAAAAAAAAAAAAAAAAAAAAAAAAAAAAAGATCAGTCAAAACAAATACTCTCCTCTCCCTTCCAAAGAAAGTAAGGGATGCTAAATGCTAATAAAAAGTCTATAATGGGAAAACAGGTATGCTTTCCTTTCGTTTCAGATTTCTTTGCTCTTGATGAAGAGGGGCCTGTACCTGACCAAATATTCAGTTCCGAAATCAGACTTTGCAATTTCCCTGTAAAGAGCTTTTCCAGCAGATTTCATTGTTCAGCAGGTAACTTAACTGTACAGTTGTTTATTTCGTCTATTCGTATATTAGATTCTCAGAGACATCCACAACAAACGCCAAACGCATGTAATATATTGTACAGGGCTTAATTTCTAAGATTAGAAGTGCCAGAGCCCTATGGAAGACCGCCAGCAAAGAGGAACAAGAGTAAATAAATAAATAAAATGACTATTAAACTGATTAATAATTTTAAAACTAAATAGTTAATTATTATCAAATTAATTAATAGCTATTTAATTAATGTTTATAAATTGTTCAAAAATCAATTGTATTATTATTGTCAAAATAATTGTATGTCAATAAATTGTTCATATAATCAAAAATTATTATATAATTAATTAATTTTAATTTAATTGATAATTATTATATAATTAATTATTATTTATTGAAATAATTAAAGATTGAAGTAATTAAATAATTAAATTAAATAAAATGTAAAGAGATAAATTGAAATTTAATAAGCGATTTTTAATATAATTTTATCGTTGAAATAAAGTTTTGGAGATAAAATTTCTACTGAAATTGTTATTCAATTACATAGTGATAGTGATAGTGACGGAGGACGTGGCCACCACCCCTTTACTATTAAGTTAATTAGTATATAGGGCCACGTCCGCCCTTATACTGAGTAAAGCCAGAGATGTCACATGGGAGGCTTGCACAAGGCGCCCAAACCCAACGCTTGGACCATCCGGTTGGCAGTTCCGCGAACCAAATGCCACCGGGTAGACACCCGTCCAAAGTGCCCGGGTCCAGTGATTTTGAATCTTCAAGAATAGCATTGTACATGGCTAAACAAGGGCAGATATACATTAGTAGTTATTTACATGCTTCTGTTAATACATATTTGCTGACATGCAATCCAGCACTGTTACATACATATACTTTCTAAATACCTACATGACATTACCTTAATTTGCTTTGGAATAATAAGACAGAGCTAGTATATACACCTAGCACAATAAAGATAAAAATAAAAATAAAATAATAATAATAATAATAATAATAATAATAATAATAATAACATACATTAGGACACGCTTGCCCACACTATATACACACATCGCAGACATACCTAGATTACTTATGCTTGAATGATACTGATTTACATTGAAATTTGCTGACATACTGACCAGTTATATTTACACATGGCATAAGTCTGGACCCATGTCCATTAGCTTATCAATTATATGAGTAATTTTGTTGGTCTGGTGTCGCTGCTTGACCATAAATCTGTTGAATGCCTCCCTGTTCGTCTGCGGGAACGGAATGTGCATTCCCTCCGTGAGAGGACATTCATGAACGTAGTGTTCTGCTGTGCCCAGATCGCCGCAGCAGCACTGATCCGAATTGGAGATTCCAAATCTCTCAAAATATACTGGAAAGGGCCCATGCCCTGTGATGTAATACACCATTTGTGGCCGTGCAACCAGTAGTTCCCTATCTACTTTAGGCAGAAATGTATGCGCTCGGCGGCCTGTGTCTTCGTTGTCCCACGCAGCCTGCCAGAGTGCTAGAGCTGTGGCGCGCAGATTCCGTTTTAAATGTGAAACCGGCCATGGGATTTGTACTGGGACTGCTTCGACGTTATGGGCTGCTTCTTTTGCAAGCCGATCTGCAGTCTCATTACCATGATTCCCGATATGGGCTTTCGTCCATTCTAGATTAATTTTTAATTCTTTATGAGCACGGAGGTATTCCTGAATAGCTGCTATTATTGGAGAACTGTGGGTGGGGTTAAGGATGGCGCATAACGTAGACAGGCTGTCTGTTATTATGTAACTATTGTATAGCCTCTGCTGAATTATCGCTTGCAGTGCATAGCTTATAGCTGTGGCCTCGCTTTGGAAGACACTATTGTGCGCTTCCAAATGCCCCTTCCATTGGCTTACTATTCTACCCTCTTTAAGTGCTGCATATGCACAGCCCACACTGTCGTCTATTTTAGATCCATCCGTATAATAGGTAACATCTATGTTCGTGGATCTTGTGGTCTGCTTTAGGTTGACATTAACACCCCGTCCTTGCAAAGACGGGTGCCTGTCAAGGCTGATGATGACTGCTCTTTCGAGGTTATCTGCAGTAAACACCTCTTCCCCAAATTGCGTTGTTTGGCCGAGTTGCTTGACTATCTGGTACGTAGCTTCCTTCTCGACACTAATGGACAAGGGTAGTATGCCAGCCAGGACTGCCAGTGCATTGGTCGGGGAAGTTCTAAATGCTCTCGTGATATTTAATAAAAACGGCCGTTGGATGCTTTGCAAATGCTTTACTTTTCTGCCCTGCATCGGTAAGGCCCAGACAGCTGCTCCATACGTCACGATCTTCTCAGTGACGGTGTTATAGAGGATCTTGAGGATATGGGGGTTGAGACCCCAGCGATATCCTTTCATCATCTTGAGCTGCTGAGCGATGCTTGCTGTGCGCTGTTTTAGGGAGAGCACATGCGCTATCCAATTCAGTTTGTCATCAAATATTATTCCCAAGTATTTGAGTTCTCGCTTGATTGCAAGTCGTTTCCCATTGAGCGTGATGCGTGGTTGTCGCGTTAGGGAGCCTCCCTTTTTTGGAATCAATAAAACTTGGGATTTTTCTTCGGCAATCTTCAACTTCAGCGTTGCACATCGCTCCTGAAAGAGGTCGCAGGATTCTTGGCAGTTTCTCTGCAATTGCTCTCTAGTGGGGCCTTGTACTATTAGTGCCGTGTCATCGGCATATGCAACTATTTTCGTGTGACTTGGCCACGGCTGTGTAAGTATACTATTGTACGTTAAGTTCCATAGGAAGGGTCCCGCGCAGGAACCCTGCGGACATCCCCTTGTTTGATTATTTTGTAGTAGTATGCCACTATTATGCTGCAGAATTAGTTTTCGTTCTGCGAGATAGTTCTCCAGTGTCCGATAGATATTCCGTGGACAGCGTGAGTTCCTTAGTGCCCGTAGGATTGCCGGCCACCACAACGTGTCAAAGGCACTTTTGAGATCGACTGAGATGAACGCGGTGTGATGACCGGACAATCTGTTTTGTAGGAGACATTCTTTAACCTTCATGAGAGCATGGACGGTGGATCTGCCTGTACGGAACCCATATTGATCCTCGCTCAGGTAATTACTAGAGTGCAAGTGATGTCGGAGCCTGTTCACTAGCAACTTTTCAAATGTCTTACCAAGCGCTGATAGTAAGCATATTGGTCTGTAGGCATCCGCTCTTCTCTCGGATCCTTGTTCTTTTTAAGGAATAGAATTACTTGGCCGATCTTGAAGCACCTGGGGAACGTGCCGGTACTTAGTAGCTTGTTGAATAGCTGTCGAAATAGATTGATATTCGAACGCACAATGAGTTTAGTTTATTATACGATAGTCTACTCCGTCGGGCCCAGGTGCTTTCTTTTGCGGTAGGCACTTTAAGATGTGCAATATTTCTTGTTTTGTGAAACAAGCATCTTCTGCAGTATCAATGTCCGAGGTATCATATCGGATTATTCTATGTGCTTGCGTGTCTTCGGAGGGGTCGTCTGTGGCGAAGACCGCCTTCACGATTTCTGCAGGCATGGTCTCTGTGAGTTTATTGGAGATCTCTGGGACAGGTAGCAGATGGAAGGGGGCGGGTTTGAAAAGCTTACACGTAGCAATCTTGTGGTGTATGCCATATATTTCGGTATTTTCCGTGCAAAATTTTCTCCAGCTTTCCAGTTTGGCCTGTAGGATCATTTTCTTATATTTTGCTCTTTCCTGTTGAAAGGTGATGAGCGTGTTAGAAGAAATATTGTGACGCCGCTCCTGCTTAAGACGGCGTCTAAGGGCGCGAACTTTCTGCTGTTGTTCTCTGAGATGACTGCTCCACCAGTTTAGATTAGAGATCTTTTTGGTTGTTCTGGTTGGCAACATTTCATTACAAACTGTTCTTATGGTGGATATTATGTCACTCGTGATAACTTGTAAGGCTTCGGTGGTAGTTGCTTGTTCGATCAACTCTGCGAAGTGGGCAAGTTGGGATTTAATGGCTGCAGCAAATGTCCTTACTTTATTACTTGGCAAGTTATACCTCTTGATTATCGAGGTGGCTGTCTCACTGGCGATAGAAAATCTAATATAATTGTGGTCTGAAAGGCTTAAGCCTTCCACAACCGTCCAATCCTGAATCTTTTGCGCAATTTGCAATGTTGCTACTATAAGGTCGGGCCATCCCTGTGAGTGGACGCGATCGAAGGTGGGTGCAGCATCATGATGATTAAGTACGCTCATATTTTGACTAGAAAAGAAATCTTCTAGCATCCGGCCTTTAGGATCAGTGTTGGCATATCCCCATGTGGAACTGTGGGCGTTGAAATCCCCAGCACATAAGATGTTATGGGACCTGTACCGCTGAAGTAGTTGCTGCATTCGCTGGATAGTTGTATCTATAAGGGCGAGTCAAATGAAAGTGAGCCAACCCCTCCTCAGCAAGAATGGTTCGGTCCATCATCTGCGGCGCATGCGCGTAGCACAGAGACAGCCTTCATTTACGAAAGTGGCGCGAAAGTGTGAGGTTAAAGTTCTTTAAGTCGCTCTTACACTGGGTTGAAGACGGTAGCGTGACATAATGGACGCTCCAAAAGAGGAACAGCGTGGTGTGGTCAAGTTTTTGACAGCTGAAGGTGTTTCCCAACATGAAATTAGTCGCCGTATGACTGCTGTGTACGGTGAACATTGCATCGCATTGGCCACTGTGAAGCGTTGGAGCAAACGGTTCAGAGAAGGACGTGAAAGTTGCAAAGACGATCCAAGACCGGGCCAAAGCCACCTTGCAATCACCCCCAACACAATTGCACAGGTTGATGAGCTGATTAGACAAGAACGGAGGATAAGCATCGATGAACTGGCAGAGCGTGTGAACATCAGTCACGGTTCGGTTCACACCATAATTCCTGATCATCTCGGTTATCGGCTTTTGTGTGCTCAATGGATGCCCAAGATTTTGAACGACCGCCAGAAGACGGAGAGGTTCGGCGCTGCTTTGTCTCATCTCATCCGGTATCACAATGAGAGTGACGACTTCTTGTCTGCAATTGTGACCGAAGACGAATCATGGTGCCACCACTACGAACCTGAAACACGCCGGCAAAGCTTACAGTGGAAACATTTGAATTCACCACGCCCGAAGAAAGCAAAGGCTGTCATTTCCTCGGGAAAGGTGCTATTGACTTTTTTTTCGATCGTCAGGGGCCATTACTGATTGAATTTGCTAAACGTGGAGAGACTATCAATAGCTCGCGATATTGTGCAAAGCTGGATCGGCTGCGTGTCGCAATCAAGAACAAACGACCTGGAAGATTGACGAATGGTGTCATCTTGCTACACGACAATGCTCGTCCCCACGTCGCTGATGTGGTTAAGACACAACTGGCAAAGTTCAAGTGGGACACGTTGCAACATCCTCCATACAGCCCAGATTTGTCGCCATGCGACTTTCACATTTTCGGGAAACTGAAAATCATCTCAAGGATACCAGATTCGTGTCGGACGACACCGTGAAGGAGTCGGTTACAGACTTTTTGAATCGACAGTCCAAGGAGTTTTATGAGACGGTTATCACGCGGCTCATTTGTCAATGGGATAAATGTCTCAATGTTCATGGAGACTACCTTTAAATAAAGTACTCTGTTTGTCATATATTCGCATTGGCTCACTTTCATTTGACTCGCCCTAATATATTAGCTGTCGGAGGGGAGTATAGTGAGACCAAGAGAACCGTTATGTTGCGCATCTCAAGAAGAATAGCCACGAAGTCTCTTTCTGTGGTGATGATAACCGGTGTCCACGCTGGGTTGCAATTGATCAGTATTGCACGGGGTGAATCGTTAACATCTTCTTTTTGGTACACTGTCCATTGTAGAGGATAGCCTACCGCTTTTCCCTTCAAGCAGTATGGTTCTTGGGCAAATATTAGATCAACCCCTTCGGTTGCGGCATATGCGGCAGCTTGTGCCGTGGCTGCTTTGGCATGTTGCAGATTAATCTGAAGGCACCTTATTGGTGTTTGAACTGGGATCGTGTCCATATTAATGTCCGTTGTCAGTGCAGCGTCCAGTTGCTGAGGTGGCTGGGTTAGACTATTACTGGTATGAGGTGCAGATGTAACTGAAGGCTGTGACGTACTTGCTTCTGTATGGGTGTTCACAGACACTTTCTCTTCAGTATTCCGTTGCGCTACGGACGTTGTCAACTGCCCGTTGATAAATTGCGCATTCTGCTGCATAGGCAGGGTGGTGGAAATTGTATCTGGTACCCAACCTGTAATTTGCGTCTCCGCAATTAATGCATGATGGTTGGTCTCCAGTGCAGTCTCTGGTTGCGTGAGCGCCGGAGCAGAAACCGCAGAAGATCTTGGAGGACCTGCACACGTCCTGGCTGTGTCCAAACTGTTGACAGCGATAGCATCTTCGTACTCCAAGGAACTCGGAGATGCCATGCGCCTGCCATGCCGTGAATATGCGCTTTGTCTTGATTGCTGCAGCAAATCCTTCTGTGGAGCACTCGATGATCCATTTGACCCTCTGTGGGCGTCGCTCACGCAGACGGAAGAGAATCTTGAAATGCAGGGCGGAGATTCCTGCTGTCGTGCTGAGCTCAGAGATGAGCTCCTCTGGCTTGGTATGCTCCCCGACATTATGTACTGCTATTCTTGGTCGACGCGTCGCTGTTTCCTCTGTATATCTATATCGATGTCTGCTTTTTGAAGATGGTCCTTTAACTTGTCAACTTCTTCGGGGGTATCACAATAGACTTCCAGACCTCCTTGCGGGGCGGGCTGTATTCTCCGTACTGCTACGGGGATTTTGTCCAAAGGGACCTTGTCTTGTAGAGCTCTCCGCAAATCGTCTGTTGGCCTTTTGGTCTTTGGTTTAATCACGAGACTGGGCTTACTGTTCTTGCGCACGGCCTCTGCAAAGCTTTGCGGTGTACTGTTTACTGTTTGCGGAGGGGCCTGCTCACAGGCGGGCTGTTGCGCAGATGGAGAGGGAGTATGCACTGTACCACAGCAAACAAAAGTAGAGGTATTGGTACCTGCCTCTATTGCTGGCGGTTTGGGGCGATACTCTGGACCCTCTAAGGCAAGGCCTTGGAGCACAGATAATGCGTCCTTCAGTCTATTCTTTAAATCTTGAGGGAGAAGGTATCTACCTCCTCGGTTTGTATCGGTGATATTCCGGATCTCGTTGGCTAGTGCAGCGATCTTTTCTGGTGTTGTCCGATCGGACTCTAGCAATTCTGCTGAATTAAGCTGTGTTGAATTACTGGCTTCCTCTGGGAGCTTGGACTGGCGTGTCATGTCACAAGTAGAAGCGTGATCCTTTAAATTGACACTATGGAGTCGCTGGGTAACACGTATAATGCACTATTGAAATCACTCTTGACACTGATGTGTACACTAAAATACGCTTATTTCAGCGTTGTATGCACTTAAAAACACTGTACGATACTATTCACACTAGTGTCGCACTTTAAATCACTGAAGAGAAAACTAACTTCACTGAAACAAAGCCTAGCGTTGCTTGGTGCAAACAAAGCCTAGCGTGCACTATTTATTCACTTAAAGACACTGAAATTGATATTGGAACAATTTGCACGTATTTACACTTGTGATGCACTGTATCGCACTGAAATGTATAACTTTCACTGAGATGCACTAACGTTGCTTGAACACTCAACTAAATCACGCACTATACTTTACCGACGCTTTGACTAGGGGCTGGGCACGATTAATTCACTTATTAGCACTGTTGTTGACACAATTTGCACATATAAGCACTAACGAAGCTTCAGTCGTTAAGCTATAGCACACACTTATCGTGAACTGAAGACTGATGGTTATGCACTATCAGCTCACGTTGTAACACTGGATGTGACTCTAAATAACGCTTGTAAATTGACGTTTAATCACTGAATTAGCACACACAGTACATTAAACACTTTCACTGTAAAGAACACTGTTTCACTCAGCACTGTAATAACTTATAGAATGGCACTTAAATACCTTGTGTAATTACACGTATTATCTTATTTATGCCAACGTGGATACTCTAATTGTACATTATGTGAGAGTTTGTCTGGTTCACAGGAAATTACAATCTGGTATACTTAAATATTTACTCATAACACAAAGTAAACATGTAAATAGCACTAAGAGTTAGAAAATTACTACAATTTAACTGAGGATTGCTAATTGAATAGGACTAATTAATACTAATTAAATTAAAGTACCGAATATCTGGTAAACAGTCACTTAAATACTGTAAAATCTGAGTGAATACAAGATGCAAAAATCAGAGTTATATAGGTATGAAGTACAATAATCAAAATCAGCACTGTTAATTAGCTTAATTAGAGGCGGTTAATCAACGGTGAAACACTTTTAAATCTGTAGCCTGAAAACACATAAATACATGGTAACAGATACTTGATAAATTTGGCCAGGGTACCAGAACTGTTATAAGGATACTGTTATTTGGTCAGTTGATTAACAGTAATTAACTAGAATAGAGTACTGAACGACAAGAATTAAGAGTCTAAAAGTACCTAGGTCAAACTTGGGTCTGTAACAGTATTATTAAAGTACTAGTTAAGAATTATTACCAGAAGTTAAGATTAGGTAAGTTGTCATTAAAATTAATTAGTTACTTAATCAGCGCTTAAAGCCTACCTTGGCCGATATCGCTTCTCTGTTGTCTTGGTCTGCTATATACACGCAATCCAAACAAATAGCACACGCACATAATATTCACCACACCTTTGCATATAAACAATAACGCGCAGTTATCAAATTTCAAAGTCCAGAATTAGCACAAAATTGTTATCTCGGGTTATACACGTCCGATAATTAAGAAAGATATGTCTCTGTGATCCTTGACACTTCAGAAATCCGAATCCGTTAGTTCCAATTAGCTGCTTTAATTAGTTGACTAATTAGCAAAATTAGGCAAGGAGTCCCAGTCCTTTCTCCTTCCTTTGTTAGATGAAGAATGAAGGACTTCGACGAGGGTCAATGGAATGCGGATGACCGTTGTACGGGTGTTGAAACGTTGGAAAGGTCAGGGTAACCACGTGGCTGTAAATTCTCTTAATTTAAGAATTAATTACTCCCGTTCTAATTGTCCATCGGGCTTGTAATTAGCATCAAAATTCTCCTTGGGAAATCCTCTTTCCAATGATATCCAATTTAATAAGCGTCGGCTTCCAATGGCTGCTCGGCGATCGCTTGAAGACTGTTGCTGGAATCACCACGCTGAACGTATTGCTATAAATATTAATTACTTCGTAATTAATTAACCGTTTGACGTATATCCAAAAATTCGGTATCCGCGTATTCATCAAGCTGTTATCTATCCGATGCAGTTTGTTTC